TTAAAAATCTGGGGATTAACATAATTTTCTCTCTGCAAAATTTTTGCAAACTTTTTCCCTTATTTTTCGTTAATCAAATATAAATTCGATTGTTAAGTAATTTAGTTGTAAATGTTTTTGAACTAAAATCATCTAATTTTATATAGAGCCGGATAATTTGGCAGTAATCAGGTGATGATCTAAGATTTTCTCGAGGAGCGGATTTTCAAAAAAGTTCGGATTTTTTAGAAAAATTTTTTGAAAAGATTGCCACAGATGCATTTTGACTAGGCTTTTTCAAATGCTTCTTATGAAGGTTTTGATAGAAAAACTCCGTTTTTTGGCTCGATATCTCATTCAATTTGGTTATGCTAAGACGCAGAGGATCCCCTAGAAAATTTTCATGAACGGTTAACCAAAAATGGGTGTCGTAAAATAATTTCGAAAGTTTTACATCAGTAAAATAAATAAATAAATGAGTGGTCGAGCACGAATTATTTTTGGACGCCCAGAAAAAGCAAGTATGAAAACTGGGTCCGCAATTTTTGTGAACTATTTTTTGAAGGCTTAAGGCATAGATTTTTTTTCTGCAGAGACCCATCTAAAATTAAAGGACGCAACTAGTTTACTTTACCTAACAACTTACTTCTTAACTCTTTTTTCATTTTTCTTTTTTATTATCAAGTCTTTTTTCTTTTTTGTTATTTAGTCTCAAAGTTGCATCACAAAAGAAAAAGAAACTGCTTATAAGTGACATAAGTGTTTAAAAGCACAATTTTTGTTTAAATATGAAAATTGCTCCAATTATATAGCAAAAAAATTAAATTGTTATTGTCCAAATGTTAAGTACCTTAAATATCAAATGAAATTCGGAATGCGCAATGAAGCATTGTTTAACTGAACGCGACGTTTTCATTTTGTCGAGCGTAATGTTAACGAAAGATTCTAAGCCAGCGTTTAAGAGAAGGCCAAGATAGATCTATATTTCGAAGTTTCATCGCTTCAATAACTCGCTTGAATCCAAGCTATGAAAACAGTTTCTAAATAAATCAAAAGTTTCATCCTTTTGATAGCTTGCTCAGAAAAACTTGAAATTTTTGCAAACTAATTCATACTATGAAAAAACTGAAATTTTTCGAAATCTCATCGCTTGAACATCTTGCTTCGAACAAGTTAAACTTTTCGCTAACTGATTCACTTGATGAATTTACAGGAAATGCAAAATTACTTGTAAAGTTTTTTGATTTGAATAATTTGCGTATAAAATTTTACTTGCTTGTCTGGTTTGCCTGCAAAAATTGAAAAAGCCTGCCTAGAAAAAACTCTTGCCGATTTGTTCTATGATTTCATCCGAATTATTTCAAGGTTTCATTGTTTGAATAGAGTGCTGAGATTAAATAATTTATAAATGACCGGAGATCATCGTTTCACTTGCTCCGAAAAACAAATTGTCTATATGAGCGAATCGATTGCAATACGATTTTCAAATCTCCAAGTTTCATTGATTGAGTAATTTTCCATGTTTCATAGCTTGCTGAGGGTAGCTTCAACTTATTGCGAATCGGTTCACAAAGAGTCAACTTGAGTTATTTGACCCAGATTTTCATCAGTTGAATGGCTTTCTGAGAAAATCAACTTCCTGCGAATCGATCCAGCGTATCAAATGGGTATCAAAACATAAAAATTTTAAAACCTTAGTCAGTTGAACGGTTTGCTCAGAAAAAAATTGATATTTGGATCAAGCTGAAGTACCATGAAAATTTTTAATATTGCATAGCTTGAATTGTAAGCCGACATGGGAAACTTAAAAAATCGCAAACTGTTTTACGATGTAGGTTGAATCAAATTGTTCAAGTGTCACTTTCTGAAGAATTTGCCGCTTGCCCAATACAGTCTGCTTTTTGCGCACCGAACGTTTCTTGGAGACAGGCTTGCCAGCATTTTTTCAAACTGCTCGGTTTATTAAGTGCGTGAAAATTTCAGCTTAGTCTAATCTTTCGTTAAAAGCACGTCACCAGAAATTACTCATTTGATTGAACTAATTGTGAAAAGTTTTGATCGACTCATGCGAAAAAGAATCATGTTGGAAAAATCTGAAATGATTGAAGGTTAATTTGAATTACTTTTTTTCAGCAAGATTTTTTTTAGCAGACCGAGTTTTTGAACGAATTGTGAAAAGTTTTGATCGACTCATGCGAAAAAGAATCATGGTAGAAAAATCTGAAATTATTGAAGGTTAATTTGAATGACTTTTTTTCAGCAAGATTTTTTTAGCAGACCGAGTTTTTAGCCGGATCAAAGCAATTCACAAGTCAGAACGCTAACTTCAACTGCAGCATTGGCAACTAGCTAGCCCTGGTTACTTTTTGGTTACATTTCGAACGAGTTGTTGCAGCTTACTCAGATTTCATTTAAAAAAAATAATGAAAAATCCTCGGCGCACGCCAAATCCTCTATGAGCGCAATAAAAAAGCCCTTTTATCTGGGAAATTGGCTTAAAAAAGCCAGGGTTAAGCTTATCTAAGTTAGCTTCAATAGTTTGCAAACCTTAAGTTCGCGAAATAATAAAATTATTAGGCTATCCAAAAAATTTCGGTAACTGCGAATTTTTTTCTGGCGTAATATTTACCGCAAAGTAAAATGTAAGTTTCACGAGCCTACTAGTTGGCCTATTTAGAGAAATTCAATCTCACTCTAATTGCCCTTTTATGTCTATCAATGAGTTATGCGTCAGTTGTATCCTGTTGATCGATAAAAGACCCAGTTTCCTTTTTCGCAGCTTAAGACCAGTTGATTTTCTTTACATTTCGAGCTTTAGCGACCGTTATGTAATAGTACGACTATTCTTTTCAACCTTTGTCGCAAATATTGGTACAACTTTTGTTGACACCTTTACGGCTTTTCAATTATTTTTTTTGTTTTTTTTCGACTCTATTTTTTTGAGACGCTTTGGATTTTTTTTCACTTTTTGTAAAAATGTTAGCCCAATGTCTGCAGCCTTCGAAATAGTCTGTGTGACGAAAAGGGGTGAAATTTGACCCATATTTTTGGATTTTTCTTCTATAACTAACTTCTCAAATCTGAGATTTTGGTCTCAATAGATACAACTGGCTGTGAAAGTTCCCCTCTACTTATTTTATTTGGGAAACGTCTTAAGTTTTGGGCAAAGTCAAATTTTTTAAATTACGCATTGCATAACGCATGAGTATACGAAATTTTAAAAAAGTTAAATCTTTTGAATCCAAGTTTTCGGATTTTGGAGGATCATTTTTGAGTAAAGTGTGACGGGTCTTCATAACCAATTTTTTTGACACAAAAAGGTATGGTTCTCGAAAACGTCAGTTCTTTTGTTACTGTTCTTTGAAAGTTTGACTTTTCGAAAATTACCCTGCCAATTTTCAGGTTAAGTTTTCTATCGATAACGGCAGTTTCGGAATTTTCTCTGCTTAAGCGGTCCTGGCATACTTTTTGCAGAAAAAAGTGATGGATTTCGGAAAGTCTTTTTTTTGAACTTTGACCGTTCTTTAGAAATTTTTTGACTTTTCTTCAAAACTACCGTATCAAATCTGAGATGAAGGTTTAATAGAAAGAACCGCCGGTTGCTAAATTTTATCCTGGAGAAGCGGCCGGCGAGTTCTTAATTTTTTGTATTAAAAATATTATGCCCCTTGGAAAATTCCAATATCTCACTCAGTATCTCCAAATTTTCACTCTTCTCACTTATTTTAAAGAGTAAAAAACTAAAGTTTTGGGCAATGTCCAATTTTTGATATTACACATTTCCTCCCGCATCAGTATAAGAAGAAAATATCAATTTTCTATCAGCTTTTGCTGGACCCTAAATATCTCTTATCGAGACATACGAAATTTTTAGGTCACCTAGTTTTTTTTCAACAATTTTTTTTTCGTTTTTTTTTCATGTCTGTTGTATCGCAAGTGGTGCAAATCTCCGCTTCGTCTCTGTGTACTCAATTAGGAGTGTTGAGTGCATCGAAACTAGAGTGAGCTCCAAGCGATTGCTGCATTATATGTAAGTTTAAGAAAATTGGTCATTTACACTAGCGATCAGCTTACTGTATTATTACCAACCATCTTTTTTTCTAACCTAACTCGCAAATAAAAGTGTTTACTTTGTAAATTTCTCTGTAACATTAGAAATTGCATAGCATCTGTTCTGTGCTTTATTTGTGGCTAGTGTTTGGTACCTATTAAGCGTCCGTGGCTGAGTGGTTAGTGGACCCTTAATCTTTAGGTTTCAGGTCCGAAATTCAGACCTAGTAGACCTAGCCGATTTTTTTTTACTAATTCGAGGCTTATTTATACTTTTTTCTTTTGCACTTTATAGAGCTGCTTTTTGTCGTGTTCTCGCTAGTGTTTGCGAAGCAAAGCTTCGCATCTGTGTTAAATTGATATGATACACTTGGTCTCATTAGGTTGACACTTATAATAAACAGCCCTTTTGTCCCCACCAAGCTGTGTAAAATGAAATGGACGCATTTAACCTTCATTTGACGTAATTTAATGAGAAAGAATTTAGTTCAAAAATATTTAGACACATTTTTTTGAATTTCTGTCAAAACGAAGGGTAGTTTAAATGAAGGCTGTCAAATTTGGCCTAGTGTAACCAGATTTGTCTCACATTTACCACATTATCATCGCGACTTATTGGGCCAATTAGCTTAGAGACCGCTTTTAGGTCAAATTTCTGCATCTTCTTTCTAATCTTCATCTCATCTAGCCTTTTCCCTAGTCTTTTTTCTGCTCCGATGGTGCCCTATTCATCTATTTGTTGAGCACACCGCCAGCATATTTCACAACTCTTGAGTTTTCCACCTTTTCTCGCCTATACTCACTAAGATAATAAATCTATTCCTCAACACGGTCCTTAACTATTTGAGATAATACCACTGAAGAGATGTGGTTATACTTTTTAAGTGGCTCAGTTCAGAGTTGTTAAAATCGTTTACCTCCGAATATGTTAGCAATTCAAATTGCGTTTCAAATCTTCTTTTTTATTTTAGGCTACTATCTGCAAACCATAGTGCCCAAACCGGCGCCCAATACTAATGTAACAGCTTGATAAGGACTTGGGAAGCATTGCACAACTTACAGGTGAAGACTGACTGTAGTAATGGCTTTATCCATGCAATCTGGGAATTGACGCGGTTGCGAGAAAGGCAGTGGCTCTTTCTAGTCTAGTGTAATAATACTAGTAGCTGAATTTGAGCGTGAACGGAGGCGGAGCAAGGACAAGACATCGTACAAAAACAGCAGCAGCAGCAATAGCAGCGTAGATGTTAAATTTGTAGCCTGATTACTTTGAAATTCGATTAGGCCGTAAAAAGTTTACGGATTTAATTAAATTTACAACGAGCCACCAAGTTGATTTTGGCCCAAAATTGTGAGCGCCGACTTAGCGTTTATCCTTTTTTGCCATTATTTGTTCCATTTTAGATTGATTTCTTTTCTTATTCGAACATCAAAGGCACAAAACAACCGCTCCTACACCGCTTATCCCCCTTGAAAAGCTCAACAACCACCGCCTTACGTAACTTCAACTATAACACAATAGTACCATATAAGCACAAACACTCATCGGGTAAAGCTGGTGTTGTTTCTAGATAAAGCACAATTTTCAATTCTGCTGCAGAATTATTTGTAACGTACTCTATTGTTTCCTATGCGTCACATATTGAGAAAAAAAATCAATGAAAAAGCTAATTATACTTCGTTTTGCCTTTTGTCAGTCAAACCTTTTATCAGTTTTGTGCTGATTTCAATGGATAAGCGTTCAAATAATTTTGTTTCTTAGCTTTGTACATCATTTTATTCGATCAGAAGAGTAATTCATTTCTATCCCCTGCTTCAAAAGCTGATTCATCTATTTCTTCTTCTGCTTAAGTTATTTTTAATGAAAATGGGCGAAAAGTCTTTGAGCCAACTGGGTTTAGTTTTATTCGCTTTCCTTATTGCGTGCACATCGTGTGTAAGTGCCGCTTCAAATGAATCTGCAGCTTCCGAAGAAAAGTGCGTAGCGAAAGGGGATGGGTGCAGCGAGGCTAAAGACGGCCTCATTTTATCCTGCTGGCGTCCGTTTAAGACATCGACAGCAGATTACGTAGCGAGGGGATTTGTCTACTTTTTCGCGCTCTGTTACATGTTCCTGGGAGTATCAATCGTGTCTGATCGATTCATGTCCGCTATTGAAATGATCACGAGTCAGGAGAAACAGGTCACAGTCACTCGGCCCAATGGCGAGAAAGCAGTCGTCACTGTCCAAATCTGGAACGAGACTGTTTCTAATTTGACTCTAATGGCGTTGGGGTCGAGTGCTCCTGAAATCATGTTGTCAGTCATCGAAATCATCAGTCGTAAATTCGAGTCAGGTGACCTTGGTCCAGGTACAATCGTAGGCTCGGCCGCTTTCAATCTGTTTTGCATCATTGCCATCTGCGTGTATGTGATTCCCGATGGCGAAGGACGAAGAATTGAACATTTGCGCGTGTTTGTTTGCACTGCTAGTTGGAGTGTGTTCGCTTATATCTGGATGTACATTATCATCGCAGTGATCAGTCCCAACGAAGTGGAAGTCTGGGAGGGCCTGGTGACATTTGCTTTCTTCCCTTTGCTAGTCCTAATAGCTTACATTACAGATAGGAAGATATTTTTCATGCGGTTCCTGGACAAAAAATACACTGCACATTATACGGGAGCTCAGGACATAAATATGAGTGAGCAAAATGGAGACGTTGAGATGCAAAAGCACAATGCGAACAACAACCACGACGGCAATCTATTGTCCAACCACGATGCTCATGTAGGCTTCAAAGGTTCCAAGATGAACCTGCAAGACTTGAGTTCGAGCGACCAGCACAAAAGAGAGTTCATGATGAAATTGGTCGAACTGAAAGAACAACACCCTGATCTAGACATGGATAAACTAGAACAGATGGCAGCCTACGAGGTTGTGCAGAATCAGCATAAAAGCAGAGCCTACTATCGAATCGCGGCAACGCGAAAAATGACAGGTGGTGGAAACGTGATCAAGAAGAATTTGGAAAAGAAAGCACATGAAAAGGACCTTACGGAGGTAATAGAAGAAGAGGAAAGTTTTGCCAAGGTCGTATTTGACCCCGAACACTACACAGTAATGGAAAACGTGGGATCATTTGAAGTTGGGGTGTACAGAATTGGAGAAGATTTAGACTTTTACACTTACGTTGATTTCGAAACCATCGACGGATCAGCCAACCAAGGTTCGGATTTCCACTACGCGGCCGGCACCCTTGTATTCAAACCGGACGAAACCCACAAAGAAGTAACCCTGCACATTGTAGACGACGACGTGTTTGAAGAAGACGAGCACTTCAGTGTGAAGTTGTCGAATGTCCGCAACGCCAAGTCCCCTCTAGCCGATAAAGTCCAAAATGACCCCTCAATCGATTGCCGACTAGGAGCAGTTGATGAATGCATGATCACAATTCTAGACGATGACCATTGCGGTGTGTTCTGTTTTGAAGAAGAAGAAATCTCCTGTCCCGAGAACTGTGGGGAGGTGAAAATTAAAATTGCCAGACACTCAGGTGCCAGAGGCAACATCCACGTGCCTTTTCTCACCATCGACGGAACCGCGAAGGGCGGCGGAGTTGATTTTGAAGACTCCTTTGGTGAGCTAGAGTTCACTAATGACCAAGCATCCGGATTCATTACCGTCAAAGTTATCGACGACGAAGAGTACGAGAAGCATGAACACTTCTTTGTCGAAATCGGAAATCCACGCCAAATAGCCAGACGAAGTTCGACGGGAACTGTCATTTACGAAGACGACTTTGAAAAAGACGAGTCCAAAATGACAGAAGAAGAGCTGATCGCGACTCAAGGGCGTGCAAAACTGGGTGCTATTACTAGACTCAAGGTCAACATTACTGAGAGTAAAGAGTTCACTGGAGCTGTTGATCGGCTACTGAAAAATACTAATATGGGCGAACTTCTAAGCACGTCTTCATGGACTGAACAATTCGTAGAAGCGATCTCAGTAAGTGCGGGAGGAGACGATGATGATGAAGGCGACGACGAGGAGGGAGGCGAAAACAGCCTTCCATCGTGCATGGATTACGTCATGCATTTCCTAACTGTCTTCTGGAAGATTCTGTTTGCATTTATTCCCCCTACCAATATCGCCGGTGGATGGGCATGCTTTGTTGTTTCTATTGGCGGCATCGGAGCTTTGACAGCTGTTATTGGTGACTTAGCGTCACATTTTGGCTGCACGGTTGGGCTTAAAGATGCTGTAACAGCTATTTCTTTTGTGGCTCTGGGAACCAGTGTCCCCGATACCTTCGCCAGTAAAACAGCCGCAGTCGGTGATAAAACTGCCGACGCTTCTATTGGTAATGTGACAGGAAGCAATGCAGTGAATGTTTTCCTGGGAATCGGAATCGCCTGGTCTGTGGCAGCTATATACCACGCCATCAAGGGAACCCCCGGAGGCTTCGCAGTAGAACCCGGAGCTCTTGGATTCTCGGTCACTCTATTTTGCATCTTAGCCTCTATTTGTATTGCCGCTTTGTTCTTCAGGAGGTTCAACTCCTCAATTGGCTTCGAGTTGGGAGGACCTAGGAAATCCAAAATCATTACCTCAATTTTATTTGTGGGCCTTTGGATAACTTATGTCGCAATGTCAGCAATGGTCGCCTATTGTGTTTTCGACCCTGGATTTTAGTCAGTGAGAATTGGAACCGCAGGTCAACTCGGATAACAAGAAAGCAACAGATTGTATCTGAGATGCAAATTTCCAAAAACAACTCATTTTATCATAATGCCTCACCGCCTCTGAGTTTTTGATACAGTTTTTGTAACTGATTTAATTGTCATTCGCTCCGAGATTTGATTGCGAATAGAGAAGTTTTGCGGTTGTAGTTTGTTCACTTGAAAATGTTGGTCGAATCGACTTTTATAAGCACAAAAAAAGACTCACCGATTAATCCTGGTTAACAAATGCAAAAAGCTGCTAGTCTTTAAATTATAATTTTTAAATTTATTTGTAAAATTTAAAAGAGCCTGGGGCTCCTGAAGTTACCATTTTAATGGTTTAAGTTTCGTAAATCGTTTAATATTTTCTCTATTTTGAATTTTTCAATGAATTTCTCTAAATTACGAATTCTAATTAATCTGGTCAGTATTTGCAAACTAGTTTATAATTTTTATTTTCTGTATATGACTTATATTTTTTCATTTGCCCTCTTCAGCGTAATTTATAATGACACCATTAATTTCATTAATTATTACTATAATTTAGGGCACACAAACTCAAGCTCTTTTTTATTTTTATGTTAATTAAATTAAATTAACCTTGCTCTCAATAGAAAAGAGAAAAATCTTTTTTACTGTGCCCCGAATTCTTCAAACTAAATTTTGGTTTCAACTTAAGCAGTTAACCACAGTCTAAGCTTGGCTCTTTTCCAGTCCCCGCATAGATATGGCATACTCCTACTACATCAATTCGTGGGCATGAAACAAGTACGATCAAAAAATCATATATTTTTCTTATCGCAATGATGTTTTTTGGAGGAAAGCCACCAATTACGGGGACTGGAATGATAGAAGGTAATGCTCCACGTAGCTGTAAGTAATATGATGCACTTAAATCTGAGTTCTGTGCAATGTAATCAGTGCAATAATGTAGTTTTGTGGTCCGTTTCTTGCAATGCTCCATTTATAATCTGCTCAATTCTAGATGCACTCACTTGTGTTTTATTGAAAGATACTGAAAAAAAGGATACTCGTTATTTAGTAGAATTATACAAATACAGAGATGTGAAATATGGCATTTATAGCGAAAGTCGCCAGCGAAATACTATGCAAAAAAGTATGCGTTCACTTCATTCAGGCAGGAACCCGAAAAATCTAAGAGATAAGTTGCGAGATGATTTCAGACGTGATCCAGCCGACTCAAAAAAGTTACAGTATACGTTAGTCGTTTCTGTTTTGTTCCAACCTCCAAACCTGAAATTTGGCTGTCTTCTACATGAAATCAAGCGCCACAAATAAAATTCAGATAATATCGAGTGAGGAATCAAATTAAAGACCCTTCAGACTCAAATCAAATCGCGATGAAAAATTCCAAAAATTGCTGTCTCTCAAAATTGCAGTTTGAAATAATTTATGGTTGTCATTTAAGGTTTTTTTTGTTAATACAGCATATTTTCAAGATACCAGAGTTTTGCAAAACTTGAAATATATCGCAGCGTTTTAGTCGTTCAAATGTGAGAAAATATATGAACACAGTTCAACCTAAAACAATTTATGATATCAGAAGACAAATTGTTTCGACACACTTAAACAAAAAAAACTATTTTATCAAAAAAAACAATTATATTATTTTCAAACTGGCTGTCAGACTATTCGTATTGCCACGACCCAAGTAATCTGCTCTTTTTCATCGTGAGGCGTCAATTCTTAATTGCCGCCTGTTACAAATTGTTGCCCTACCCTTTTCCATGCAGTGCAACTTGAATTTGAAATTTCGGATATACGTGAAATGGTTACAGTCGAATTAATTGCTTTGAATTTAAATAGGGACATCTGAAATGACAGGGAGTTTGTTTGAGTATAACTCTAAGCGATATGATTTTACAAGTATCACAGACTAAAAAAAAGAAGTGAAAGATGGCTACAATCTTCAAATTACCATCAAGAAGAATGTTTTCAAACAAGAAATTCAATCGTATCTGATTAAAATCATTTTGAGCTTGAAAAAAGAAAATCAATCGTATCTGATAAAAAATCATTTTTTTGTGATTTTCGTCATTATTTTTTTTTCTGGTGGCGCGCACTCTCTTTTCTCTATCTGAATCTTTAACTAAAAATAGTTTTCTAAGTCCTTTATTTGTTTTTTTTTTTGTTTATAATGGGTGAATATTTTTCAGATGGCTAGATAGAATTGGTCTGACGAAATTTAAGTCAGCATGCCCCCTTTAAATCAAAATCAGCCGACTCTAGCCAACCCAAATTTGACTGCAAACACTGTTTTCGATTCCAACTTTGAAACCGGATCCTCCAGTATCGAGGTCCGGACCATCATAATCCAAAGCCACGACGCCATCCGAGGACCCACTGTCTGCGGAGACATGGCAGCAGACTCTACCTTGATGCAGCTCCTGGGGGCGAAGATTCCCAAGCAAGGAGAAAAAGAGTACACGCCTATCAAAGATCAGAGAGTCTTTGTTAGTCAACATCCGCCCAGAGTTGTGCTGGACTTACTGCGAACTGTCGGGTTTAGAATTGTTGGGTTTTCAGGAGCCGACAGAGGCTATGCGTGGACTCTTGAAGGTTGAAAGTGGTGTCTCGCTTATAGGGAAGCTACCGAGTAGCATGCAACTAATGTTACAAATATCAGCAGTTACTTCAAATCGATTCAGTGGACGCTTTATTATAAATCGTTTTTTTAAATAATAAAAATAATAATAAAAGAATTTACAGATTTCAAAAATCTGAGGGGCTTCAAAAGCCCGTATAAGGTATACGTGTAACGAGAATGGTTCTTCTCGAGTAACGGCCAAGACTTAACAAAAAGCAATGTTTTTGTATGTGAGGCTAATGTCTGGAAATTTTATTATTCAATATGTCTTTTTGCTAGAAGCTTGAATTTTTTGTTCTGTCTACTCGTACTCGTACAGTCGAAACGATCTATTGCGTACGATGGAGTTTTTTTCTTGCGGATTTTGACTGCCGTAAAGAAAACTTGCCGGTGGTCAAATTAGGTATCATTTTACTTCCTGTCAGTATTGTTTCAGATTTTGAAGAGAAATTTAGAACAAATTCTGTATCGAGAAAAACTGGTCTGATATTTTTTGCTGTTCGGAGCCAAATTTAGCTAAGAGTGTAGACACTCTGCATCCGTTGGTTTTACAACATGAATAGTTAATTAATGTGCTTTAAAAACTTTTTATAATCTGCGGTCCCATCGGCTGCAGAATAATTTCCTCAAAAATATCTTCCTCAGTTTTTCGAAAATTTGATTTTTTAATTAGGGTTTTTCAAATTTTCATCTAATTTTGTGAAACATAACCTTAGTCGGAACAGTTTCTGCTACTTGCAAAGCAAGCGTCTACTCTTGTTGCTTTGAGCTTTTCTTTCTTTCATCCCATTTGTCATATTGCTAAATTGTGAAGAAATTGGTCACCAATTTCATATTCATATTTTACTCAATTTAATTGTCGGACCCCCCCCCCCGACAAAATAAGACAAATCTTTGACGGGTGTCTAAAAAGACTCCAACTAAACTTTTATACACAGACGAAGCTCCGCTTCGCATCACTTGCGATAGAAAAATATGTTCTTCTTGCACATAACCAGAATACATTGAAAGGATAGTAAAAAATGCTTAAATTATAGGCAAATTACTTGCTGTAGCCACCAAGCCGAAAAAGTAAGCAGAGAAACAAAAGTCAGTAAAGATTTTTTTGTTAAATCGAAATTTTTTTGTGTACAAAAAAAGTTAAAACCACGGACTTTTGTCTTAACAGGCATGTGCTTTTTCTCTTCGCCATAAGTTCGGGTTAACGCCTCAATCTTGATCTCACATAAACCAAGTGGTTAATGAAATGGTTCAAGATATTTTGTTAATTTAGTTATTCACCCGAAAAAAAAATTAACATCTCGATTTGATAACGCTTGCTAATTGCAAGTGTAACCATTCAGTTTTTTTTTTCCAAGTAAGTTGAAAATATCCCGGCATTTTTAACAGTTCTAAATAAAAAAAACTTAAGAGCCAACAAAAGGCAACCTGCATTACATTACTAAAACGCCAATTGTAATGTTTAAGACCAGGGGCGGATTTAGGGGGGGGGGGGGGGTTGGCGGACGCCTCCCCTCAGGTATTCGACCCCCTAACCGACCCAAAGGGTCCCCCTTTGTACCATTTTGAGATATCCATTTTTGGTGACGGAGCCTAAAAATTTTTTGAAGGCGCCTTCGGTGCCAATATATACTAATTTTGACCGGGGAGAGCGCGCCAAAAAAAACGCAATTTTTTGGTCAAAATTTTCCAAAAATTGCCTAAAAACGCTTTTTTTGGCCTGTCTTTCAACATTTTGCCTACGGCGCCGAAAATTTGACCGAAACAGGGTCTTTTTAGTGATTTGGAAGAGCTTGGAAAATCAATTTAGTCAACCTAAAAAAAGGTCGTCGACAAAATTTTTTGAAAATCCCCCCCCCCCCCCCCCCCCCCGAGAAAATCCTAGATCCGCCCCTGTTTAAGGCAGTTTTATGCTCGATTTTGACATGATATTAATTTTGAACACCCCGCAATAAAAAGCGACTTTTTGTTCAAAAATTCTTGGGTAATTTTTGACCCCCATCAAATTAAGTACTGCAGAGAACAGAGAACTTTAAAACTTTGTAACTTTGAGTACTGCAGAGAACTCTAAAAGTCTTTCAAAACTGGTACTTACTGTCGCTGGCTGGCAGCTAAAATTGCTCTCAAAAATTGATTGAACTTCCGGCTCCTAAGGAAAAGCAAGGGTGTAAATTTAGTTTATAGAATTAGGAAGTAGTATTTTAGAAATTCACCGCCGTAAGTAAAGCTGAAAAAATATTCAGAACCGTTTTCCTAAAAAAAGAGAGAGAAGTTGGAATAAGTTATAGGAACCCCAAGAATGACTCAAAGGAAATGTCTTCCTAGCATGAATATACCTTGCGTCACTAGCGTTCTAAGCGGACCTGAAATAAACCATATGTGGAATAAAACCATAGGCCATAGGTCAACTTCTTACTTGGAACTTCCTACGTGAATTAATTGGAACAACTGGAACTTAACTTTGTGAAACAACTTAACCCTGCAATCGCTATTTTCATCCTCGAATGGGAATTGGAGGCGAAGCACTCATCTTAGCGACCACTGTCAATGCTACTGTAAAACGACCAAAAGGGCTTGATTGAGGGTCTATTTTGAGGAACATTTCACGTCGATCCCTGAGTCATAGCAGTTTGTTTGTTAAGGCTGAGGTGTAATATGCAGAAGCACGATATGTATGGATCTAGGGGTGCAACCGAATGTTCGAACGTTCGTTCGAGGAAAAGCCTTCGAGTGCTTTCGTGATAGTTCGGTCCTATTTGAACTATCCAAGACTCACTACTTAGGCGAGGAACATTTTCTGCTTACCATTGTCGAGTACGCCGTCTGAGCGTGTTTTCAGCACTGCTGGAAATGTTGTTACCAAGAAAAGAGTAAGATTTACTGGAGATTTTGTGAACATGCAAACTTTTCTGCATGAGAATTGGAAACTTTCTCAGTTTTATATTGATCTTCAATTTTTTTTCTCAAGAGTACTGAAATTCTCAATGAAATACCGATTGTTTTTCGTTTCTCTTTATATGAAATGGTAATGTAGTACATTTGCGAGCCAAGTGTTTGGATATTAAATGGAGAGTATTCTTAGTTTGTCACATGAGCCCTTCATATTTTTCTCTCCCAAGTGATTCTTTTTGCAATAGGCAGCAAAAATTTGCCGATTTTTGATGAATTACTTCATTGAGTTCGATTGTTTTTGTTCACACATGTTTTCGTGATTTAATGAAATTTCACTGCATTTTGAACTGAACAAGTTACTATAGTGCTGAATTACAACAACCGGGTAGAATGAACTAAAACAGAATTTTGAAACTATTTTTTCTCAAATTCGGTTGTGGCCAAAAAATGATGAGGGCAGAAATTTTTTTGGAATTTCACTAGCTTTCTTAATGTGCATTTTTTTTCGCCAGATTTAAACCAAAATTAGACCCTTAAAACGGGACAATTAATTTGGTTCAAAATTAAAGAGGTAAACAGGGTCGATTGTAGTTGTTCTTACATCAATCGCCCATGTTTACCTCCTAAATTTGAACCAAATAATTGACCCTTTTAAGTGTGTAAATTTGGTTAAAATTTGGCAAAAAGTGCACTATGAGAAAGCTGGTAAAATTCCAAACAATTTTTGTCTACGTCATTTTTTTGGCCGAATTTAACAGAACTTGAGGAAAAACAGTTTCAAAATTCTGTTTTAGTTCATTTTAGCCGGTCGTTTTCATTCGGCACTATAGTAGCTTGTTCACTAGAAAATGCAGTGAAATTTCATTGAATCATGAAAAGATGCGATTAAAAAAACATGACCAGGCCAAACTGTGCACTGGATAGGCGCACAATTTTGTGTCTGTATGTTTGTGGATTCCAGAGACAAGTCTTTAAACATGTTCCAAAATGTAAGTGAAATATACTTACAAAATTTCCGCGGATTCCGCGTACAAATACTTAAAACGTAAATTTTGTAGGCACTTTAGTTTTGTTGAAAATTCCGCTTACAATTTGCAGATTCTGCTTGTAATTTGCGGATTCTACTTACAGTTGCGGATTCCGCTTACAATTTGCGGATTCCACTTAGAGTTGCGGACTCCACTACATCTTAAGTGTACTAAACCCATTTAATATTATTTGCTTATAGATTCCGCAAACTGTTCCGGATTCCGCAAATTTTGTTGCAGATTCCACAATCTTTGTTGCGGATTCAGCAAATTTGCCTGTTTTTGGAGCAATTTTGAGCAATACAGTGTTTTAGCTATTTGTCGGTGGAATCCAAAACAGCAAAGAAGAATAAAATGCAATGTTGCGGATTCCGCAACAATTCTGTTTTTGGCCTGTTTCGGCATCTGCTTAAAATTTACAAAATGCACTGTTTGGCCGCGTAATGAAACAATCGAACTCAATGAACTATATCATCAGACTTCGGTGAATTTTTGCTACCTACTGCAAAAAGAATACCTTCAATAACCCAAATTGTTGTGAAATGAGAGACGATTCATAAAAAACACGTTTTAAAAAGACCCTGTAGAAGTGTGAAAGTGATTTCATTTTAGGTCAATTTTCTTTTTCCAAGTCTTAATGAATACTGCGTACGTAATTCGGTTCTTTCTCCAAAAAATTCTGAAGTTTGGAAAGCTTCAAAAAAGTCAATTCCAGCTGTCTGTTGGCAATGTTGTTTACTACCAAACTCATGAATTGCCTTTTGAAATAGCTTTTTATTGTCATTTAAGATAAAGTTATTTGAAATGTTTTGTATTGCTTCAGAGAAAGAATGACTACTTGCTAACTACTCTCTATTGCACGCTAAATGCCAACAATCAAGCTCTGAATAACTGAGAAGTTTCTGCTGGCTATTTTATTAGAAGAGACACAATTTTCTTATGCTGGCATCAGTTTCAAACCTATCATACAAATGCAAGCTCTAAAGAGAATCGCGAGGACTCTCGGGTCCAGACCCTCGATGGGGGGACTGGCGATGAGTAGAATGACAGAGGAGGAACTGACGTCCCACCTGGCTCAGTGTCACTTCAACATAGTGTTGCCAGGACGCGTGAGGAAGCTGTACGATGTGCCTTCTACCGTCCCCAAACCTTATTACGTGGCCGGACGTCTAGATCACCGGAGGGGTTCGTTAGATTTTAGGCTCAAGTTAAATTCCTACCCCCCACGCTCTCTGTCATAAAGGGAATTCTTGCTCTAAGAGTACCTTCAGAAATTGAATCGTTGTCCGTACGGAGCTGATCTCCGACGCACTTGACTAGGAATAAGAGAAGACGGATGATGTCTATTGCGACTGTTTGCTAGTTGCGACTGTTTCCTTGTAGAAAACGCTTGCCATCGTTTAGCTCTTTAGCCTTTCATTTTTTTTAGCCTTTCACTGGTGCCGTGAAAATCACCTGATTACTTTGACCTTCAAGGCCCATAAAATTTTCGTCAATAATTTATGCTTGCTAGCTGCGACTGTTTGCTGGTAGAAAACGCTTGCCATCTTTAGCTCTTTAGCCTTTCATTTTTTTAGCCTTTCACTGGTGCCGTGAAAGTCACCTGATTAATTTGACCTTCAAGGCCCATAAAATTTTCGTCAATAATTTATGCTTGCTAGCTGCGACTGTTTGCTGGTAGAAAACGCTTGCCATCGTTTAGCTCTTTAGCCTTTCATTTTTTAGTCTTTCACTGGTGCCGTGAAAGTCACCTGATTACTTTGACCTTCAAGGCCCATAAAATTTTCGTCAATAATTTATGCTTGCTAGCTGCGACTGTTTGCTGGTAGAAAACGCTTGCCATCGTTTAGCTCTTTAGCCTTTCATTTTTTTAGCCTTTCACTGGTGCCGTGAAAGTCACCTGATTACTTTGACTTTCAAGGCCCATAAAATTTTCGTCAATAATTTATGCTTGCTAGCTGCGACTGTTTGCTGGTAGAAAACGCTTGCCATCGTTTAGCTCTTTAGCCTTTCATTTTTTAGTCTTTCACTGGTGCCGTGAAAGTCACCTGATTACTTTGACCTTCAAGGCCCATAAAATTTTCGTCAATAATTTATGCTTGCTAGTTGCAACTATTTGCTGGTAGAAAACGCTTGCCATCGTTAAGCTCTTTAGCCTTTCATTTTTTTAGCCTTTCACTGGTGCCGTGAAAGTCACCTGATTACTTTGACCTTCAAGGCCCATAAAATTTTCGTCAATTATTTATGCTTGCTAGCTGCGACTGTTTGCTGGTAGAAAACGCTTGCCATCGTTAAGCCCTTTAGCCTTTCATTTTTTTAGCCTTTCAATGGTGCCGTGAAAGTCACCTGATTACTTTGACCTTCAAGGCCCATAAAATTTTCGTCAATAATTCATGCTTGCTAGCTGCAACTGTTTGCTGGTAGAAAACGCTTGCCATCGTTTAGCTCTTTAGCCTTTCGTTTTTTTAGCCTTTCACTGGTGCCGTGAAAGTCACCTGATTACTTTGACCTTCAAGGCCCATAAAATTTTCGTCAATAATTTATGCTTGCTAGCTGCGACTGTTTGCTGGTAGAAAACGCTTGCCATCTTTAGCTCTTTAGCCTTTCATTTTTTTAGCCTTTCACTGGTGCCGTGAAAGTCACCTGATTAATTTGACCTTCAAGGCCCATAAAATTTTCGTCAATAATTTATGCTTGCTAGCTGCGACTGTTTGCTGGTAGAAAACGCTTGCCATCGTTTAGCTCTTTAGCCTTTCATTTTTTAGTCTTTCACTGGTGCCGTGAAAGTCACCTGATTACTTTGACCTTCAAGGCCCATAAAATTTTCGTCAATAATTTATGCTTGCTAGCTGCGACTGTTTGCTGGTAGAAAACGCTTGCCATCGTTTAGCTCTTTAGCCTTTCATTTTTTTAGCCTTTCACTGGTGCCGTGAAAGTCACCTGATTACTTTGACTTTCAAGGCCCATAAAATTTTCGTCAATAATTTATGCTTGCTAGCTGCGACTGTTTGCTGGTAGAAAACGCTTGCCATCGTTTAGCTCTTTAGCCTTTCATTTTTTAGTCTTTCACTGGTGCCGTGAAAGTCACCTGATTACTTTGACCTTCAAGGCCCATAAAATTTTCGTCAATAATTTATGCTTGCTAGTTGCAACTGTTTGCTGGTAGAAAACGCTTGCCATCGTTAAGCTCTTTAGCCTTTCATTTTTTTAGCCTTTCACTGGTGCCGTGAAAGTCACCTGATTACTTTGACCTTCAAGGCCCATAAAATTTTCGTCAATTATTTATGCTTGCTAGCTGCGACTGTTTGCTGGTAGAAAACGCTTGCCATCGTTAAGCCCTTTAGCCTTTCATTTTTTTAGCCTTTCAATGGTGCCGTGAAAGTCACCTGATTACTTTGACCTTCAAGGCCCATAAAATTTTCGTCAATAATTCATGCTTGCTAGCTGCAACTGTTTGCTGGTAGAAAACGCTTGCCATCGTTTAGCTCTTTAGCCTTTCGTTTTTTTAGCCTTTCACTGGTGCCGTGAAAGTCACCTGATTACTTTGACCTTCAAGGCCCATAAAATTTTCGTCAATAATTTATGCTTGCTAGCTGCGACTGTTTGCTGGTAGAAAACGCTTGCCATCGTTTAGCTCTTTAGCCTTTCATTTTTTAGTCTTTCACTGGTGCCGTGAAAGTCACCTGATTACTTTGACCTTCAAGGCCCATAAAATTTTCGTCAAAAATTTATGCTTGCTAGCTGCGACTATTTGCTGGTAGAAAACGCTTGCCATCGTTAAGCTCTTTAGCCTTTCATTTTTTTAGTCTTTCACTGGTGCCGTGAAAGTCACCTGATTACTTTGACCTTCAAGGCCCATAAAATTTTCGTCAATAATTTATGCTTGCTAGCTGCAACTGTTTGCTGGTAGAAAACGCTTGCCATCGTTAAGCTCTTTAGCCTTTCATTTTTTAAGTCTTTCACTGGTGCCGTGAAAGTCACCTGATTACTTTGACCTTCAAGGCCCATAAAATTTTTGTCAATAATTTATGCTTGCTAGCTGCGACTTTTTGCTGGCATAAAACGCTTGCCATTGTTTAGCTCTTTAGCTTTTCATGTTGCCGTGAAAGTCACCTGATTACTTTGAAGGCTCGAAAGTGTTGATCTCTTTGAGCTTTTGGGCTATCCCTGCCGTTTTTCTGGTTACCTGTCTTTATGCGCTGGCTTGATTTTGTGTCTTGTGTTTGTCTTTGCCCCTAAATCTTTGCTGTATTTCAAGTTTTAGTTTTGTAGATCTCGAACTTTGGTAGTTGACTATCAGTCTCATAGTTGACTATCTCAAAGTGTTTAGCCCTCGATGCTGGCGCGGGATCAGGAATTTGTCCTCCGACCAACATTCTGTATTGCGTATTTGCTGATTGGCGGTCTCCCTCGGTTCTTCTTGTCTGAAAATGCAGTTTGTTTTACGTAATCCTAAATCATGTTGTTTTATTCAATAGTAGTTGCCAAATTTGACAAAATTGTGTTCGACCGCCGTCCCAAGTAAATATCGAAAGTGGATACTTTTGTACAGCATGAGTGGTGGTTCCCAGTGTTGTTTTTAGTTCGGCATTATCCTGGGCTAACTATAAGGTTTGTTCTTGTGATCTGTTTTCATAACCCCCTACCTTAATTTTAGTGTCTGGATTAACCGTTCTACTTAACCGATGGTCATCCATTGTTTCGAAAAATCAATTTTGTTACCATCTTCGCAGTGCAGTTGAAATTTTCCGCTTGTACGTCTGCGCCTGATCGCTCCTAATATTACCCGCTACCCGTTATTCAGTAAGTAACTCTACATAAAGTTTATGCTTTTGTTACTAACTTTAATTAATGGGTAGGTAGAAAATCTATCCACTGCTTCTTAGATATATGCATCCTAATTTAGTTAGTCTGGCATTGGCCTCGCAAAATCTAGCGATTCCTCCTCGTTTCGTTCCACTAACTTGTCAAGATCAAAATAGTGTTTTCCCTAAAATTGGTTTCAAATTTTTATCGTGCTCTCTATATTCTTTTCAGTTCTGCCCTGCAGCTACTATCGACCTGTGTATTTGCGGAAACCATATATCTTTTGCTATTTCTAACATGACTTTCCTCCCAGGGTGGGTTAGGAGAAAGGTCTCGAGGTTTGTTTCCCTTAGTTGGCTAGGTACCACCACCGTCGATGCTCAAACCTTCGTCATTTACACTTAGACTGTTTCTAATGTTTTACAAATATTTGCCATAGGACCATTTGAGTGCCTGCTTATTTCTTTCTCTATCAAAATGTTTTGAAGGTCGGATGTTTTACTTTTTCTGGTTGCCGCCACTTCATCGGTGCCCTAACACTCTTTGCAGTTTTGCCTGTATAATGGCGTATCTCCCATCGTCAACGTTCCTTGGCTGTTTTTAATTGTTGGTGTTGTCTCTTCGTTTCTAACTATTGCCATTTGTTGTGCCTCCGCCATGTTCTGTGTGTCCACACTGCACTTGTTTGTACCCAGCAGCTCTATAGGTGTGAGGTCCATGTTGGCTGTATCGTTTGGCGGTTGCTCGTTTGCCGTCTGTGTAGCCGTGGATGCGGGAATGTTGATCGGGTCCGCGTCTTTAGTACTTTCACTAGTTTGGGCGTTCGTCACTTGTTTAGCCGTTGATTCCACAACATTGTCTGTTTCTGAGCTTGTTTTCGGACATATCTTTTTCTGCTACTGATTTGATGCTTGAATCCTTTTCGTCCAAGTCGAATACAGTTTTTTTGCTCAGTCCAGCCTCCCTATTTTTCTTAGTGTTCTTTTGAAGTGTTTCCTGTGGCCACTTCTCGTTTTTTACTCATATTGATGCACCATTTGGGTTTGTTATACTTGTTTCGTGTTCCTTCCAGCTATTGCTTGAACGGAAGTGTGTTTTTGAATAGCTTATGTTTGCTCTGGTAATGGGGTGGTTTATGTTTTGTGCGCCCCCCCCCCCCTTTCTGATGTGTTGGCCTCGCTTTCTTTTCTTTCCATTTCTTTCTTTTGCAGTCTTGCTACTTTGTCTTTCGATACTTCTCTGGCCAAATTCTGGCAGCCCCCTCGGGTACTGCGAACTTGGGTAATTTTTGGATTGTTTTTGTTTCATTGTTGTCCCTTCTTTTGTGGTTGGCTGCTCCTTTTCTGTACATTTTTCGTTTTTGATAACGAGAAAAGGCA